AAAATATTATAAGTTTATTGAACTATTTATGAAAAAAGAATAGCGATTATTAATATATAACAAAGAATTTAAAGTATAAATCAAATTAAAAGAAGGATTTATATCACTCTTAATCAAGTAATACCATAAATCAAGAGACAAGCTAAAACTTAAGAATAAGTTTATCAATAAGTTTTATAAAGTAATGTATATATAACTAAGATATAGAAAAGTATTAATATAATCAATATTTATTAATAAGAAAGATATAATTAAATAAATAATTATTAATTACAAAGCACTAAATAATAGAACAATAGATAATATAAATAAGATATTTTATTAGGAATAGAAGAGAGATCTCTTATAAAGAATAAAGATTATGATAGTCTTTAATATTTAATAAGATTATTATAATCTATAAATAGCTAAAGATGATATTTAAAAAATAGTATTTCTTATAAATAAAAGACTATTTAAATAGATAGTTACACTTATAGATTTAAAGAACCTATCAGTATAATTTGCATGATACATAATATATATTCTATAGAAGTACTTAAACAAGTTTGTTACAGTTTACTTTAATAATATTATTATATACTTATAAAACCTAGAAGAACATAAAGAACATATATAACTAATTATGACAGCACTTATAAACAAAGGATTAATACTTAAAATCAAGAAATATAAATTCAACACTACAACTATCAATTACTTAGGAATGATTTATACACTAGAAAGATTAAAAATCCAGCTAAATAAGAAAGATGTAATACTCAACTAATCTATCCCAATAAATGTCAATAAAATACAGCAGTTTCTAGATGCAACAGAATACATCAGAAGATACTTAAAGAATTATATAGAAATAATATAACTAATCACTAAATTATTAAAAAAAGATCAAGAATTCAATTAAATAAAACAATAATAGCAAGCATTTAAAAAAGTTAAAGAATTAGTCAGAAAAGCATTAATTCTTATACTTCACAATCTAGAGAAACCAAATATAATTTAATCTAACACATCAGGATATACATTAGGAATTATTTTAAAACAATCAGAAGATGATAGAAAATTAAGACCTATCACCTTTTACTCCAGATAATTTACCACTACAGAAAGGAATTACAATATTTATAATAAAGAACTACTCACAGTAGTTAAAGCATTTAAATAATAAAGATACTATTTATAAAGAGTTAAGGAAGAAATAGTTATAAAAAGTAATTATTATAATCTAAAGTATTTTATAATAATAAAAGAGCTTACTAGCAGACAAGTTAGATAATCAGAATACCTATCAAGGTTTAAGTTTCAAATTAAACATATCAAAAGAAAAGAAAATATTATCATTAATACATTAAGCAGAAGAGTAGATTATATAATTAGAATATAATAACCATAAATAAATATACTAGTAGAAGATAAAAATAGAATTCACTATAATAATAAGGCAATACTAGCAATAATAATTATAATAAAAAGCAAAGATTTTCACAAAAGGATAGTAAAAACTATTAAGAACAACAAAATACTACAAACAGCACTATATAATAATAAAGTAGTAATTAAGAACAGATTAGCTATTTAAAGAAAATTAATATTAATACCATTTTTAATAATTATAAAAGTTATTTAAATAAATTATAATTTATTAATTAAAAGACATCATAGAATTAATCAAATAGTAGAAAAAATATAGCAAACATATTATTTTCTAAGAATAAGAAAATTGGTTAAAGACTATATCAAGAAATATAACAGTTATAATCGCAATAAACCAATTAACCATTAATTATATAAAAAAATACAGATTCTAGAAATATTAATAAAAGTATAATAAAAGATCATAATAGATTTTATATAAGGCTTACCAGAGTTAAAAGATCCTATTTCAGGAATTATATATACTGAAGTTATTATTATTATAAATAAACTTATAAAATATATTATCTTAAAACTAATATTAAAGAATTTAATGATATAATAATGTGTAATACTAATATTATAAGAAATATTTATAATATTTAGATTACTAAGTAAAATCATATCTAATAAAGATAAGTTATTTATATCTAAATTTTAGTAGATAATTATAAAAAATTATAGAATAGAATATAATCTATTAATTATATATTATTAATAGACTAATGGCCAGACTGAAAGGATAATTCAAGCAGTTAAATAATATCTAAGATATTATTTAGATTAGAATCAAGATAATTAGATAGAGTTACTATCAATTACTTAGTTTATAATAAATAATACTATAAATACATTAACAGAATAAGTATTATATTTTATTAATCTAAAAAGAATTCCAAAGATAAGTTAGAAAAATATTAAATAAGAAGAAATATTAAATAAAGCAAACATCTAAGCAACACATATGCAATTAATGTATAACAACCTATTAAAAGATATTAAATAAGTAGAAATAAGAATAAAGAAATATTATAATAAGAAGCGCGAGGACGTGTTAACATTTAAAAAGAAGAAAAGAGTTTATCTTCTACAATAAATATTAAAATTAAAAATTTTTAACATTAAAAATATAAGACTAAGCAATAAATTTGATGCAGTTAAATTTAGACTGTTTATTATTAAAGAAAAACTTACTAATAATAATTATAAACTCTAGCTATTAATAAGAATGCAAATACACTCAATATTTTATATCTTATTATTAAAACTAATAACTAACCTAATAAATAAAGATGAAGTAGTAGACAATGAGGAGTATAAAATTAAAAGAATACTATAATATAAGTTAGAAAAAGAATATATCTACTATCTTATAAGATAAAAAGGATATAGACCTGAAGAAGATATATGGAAATTTATTAGATACTTAAATTGCTTTAAGAAGATTTAAGAATAGAGATAGAAGTATAATTAAGAAAGATAGAAGGATTAAAGTTGGTATTAAGGATAAGATTGTTGTTTTATAAGGTAAAAATAGTAGCTAGAAGCTTCTTAATCTCTTATTATTTTTTTGCTTATTTTATTTTTATCTCTTCTTCTACTTTTTTTAATCTTTCTAGTTTTTTGACATCCTTTATATCTATTTAAAGAAATTTATTTATATATTTTTAGAAAAGCTTCTTTTATTTTTATAAATAAGAAAGATAAGTTATAAAGGTTATAATCTCTTATTAAGCCTTCTCCTTATTTATTTTAATTTTATCTTAGGCTATAATTAGATACTTCTATAAAGACTTAGAATTTATTATTTTAATATACTTGTAGTTACTCATGTGAATATAGTTATTATAGTGAGAAGAATCTTCAGCCTTTATGTAGATATAATTTAATTAATAATAACAGTTGCAAGAAAAAAGAAGGATAACTTTAAATCTTTTAATTTTGCTAGTAAGATTGCAATTTTTAACAGTTTTATTTCATTTTAAAGATATGGTTAGTGTAAAACCACAAGATTATATATTTAGAATATTTAGGAAGTTAGGATTAATTACTTATATTTTAAAAGATATGAGCTATTTATTAAGCTATTAAGATGCCAGCTTTTAGAGGAGGGGATTATTAAAGAATCAAAATATTATAGCCAATCAATAAGTGATAATGATGGAACGAAATATATACTACACCACAGATGTTAGAACTAAAAAGGATAGGGTTACTATTATATCTATTAGGATAATAGTATGATAGGAAGTATACTAGAACTATTAAAGATATGAAGGCCTACTTATAGCTATTAGATCCTAGATATAGAAGGAATGATGGAGGAAAGTTATATAAGGACGTTCATTCATTATGTATTTAGTTTTCTTCTATTATCTTGAATTAACTGAGATAACTTGAGTATATGATCTTCTATCAATCAGGATATTCTATCTTATTTAAGACTTTATTTGTTTCTTTATAACTTTTATATACCAGAAGCCTATTAACTTCGCCTGTTAATAGCTATCCTAGCTATACTCGACGGTAACCCAACCGAAGTTTCCGACACTATAATAGATATATAAAGTATAATTACAACTTCTAAAATCTATAATATAAACTTTATTTTAGAATAAATAATATTCATATAGAAAATCAGAAGAAAGATTGTTCTTTTAAATAAAATCAGCCTAAGTAATATAATATATAAGATAATTAAAAATAAGTATATTAATATATTTTAAACATTTACTTATAAAGAAAGCAGGGTCATACTAAGAATAAGAGCAAGTCTTTCTATTTATATCTTTAGAAACAAAGATCCTGAAAAAAGAGAGTAATATTATAAAACTAACTTATATAATACTAGATAGAAACTAGTACTATTAAGAAAAAATACTTAATTAAAATAGCTAACATCATAACTAGTTATTTATATATACCAACATACAAGACAGTCATTAAACATATAAGCTTACAGCTGATATAAGAAAATATATAATCAATATATACCAGGGTATATACTATAAAGTGTAGAGGAAATATATATAATACTAAGCAGAATTATTAGATATATAATTAGATATATACTCTAAGATATAGAATAAGTATAAAAGATACTAATTATATAAATATACTTATTCCTATACTTGGTTCTTACTTAGTATAGCTCTTTAATCTAAGTTACTTAATTATATATTAAAAAAATCAGCAAGATAAATCTATTTAAAGTATTATAATACTTTAAAATGTTTCTTTTATTCTAAGTTGTAATCAATTAATCTTTATTACTGATAAGTCTGAACTATATCTAACCTTATTGACAAGTTACCCTTATAAACCTTTATGTGGTTCATCCATTGTATCATACCTTGACACAACCAGTGACAACTAGGGTGGATCCAGGCGCGTGACAAAACTATCCTCGCTTCCTAATTAGGTTTAGTCTAACTGCTTTGATATGATTGGCTGGCTAGATTTTACTAGCTTTTGGAAGCCGAAATTACGAAGCGTCTGAGCCTCTGAGATAAGTCTCCACCAACACTCTTCCTCCTAAATTACTCAATTCCACGGAACGCACAGGAACTCGATTTCCTTCCCCCAAAATGCGCCAAACTCTTCGCCGGTCCTGTGCTGCATGTGCCAAATCCAAACACAGTTGCGACCTCCGCACACCACGCTGCTCTCGCTGCATTAAGCGCAAAGTCCAGTGCGTCTATGCGAATGAGCCCTTTACAGCGCCGCCGGCAACTCACGGGGGATCAATGAGACCGCTCGATGGATCTGGTGCTTTAACCGGCTACAGATTCGGGTGTCTCGATCCTTTCGATTCGTACCCGCAGACGAGACTTCCTCGGGAACGCGTTCAACGTCTCATCCATCGCTGTACGTACGTCTTCGATCGACGTCGTCGATCAAAGCTTAGCTTACCAATTCAGTTCTCCACAAGATCGCTTTCCAATACTACCCTCTCGACTTGAACGCAACCTCAAATCCGTTTCTCATCTCTTGGTGGCCTCTTGCTCTGGGCGACCCAGCACTATTTCACGTCTCGCTGCAGACAGCATGTCTTGATGAGGAGTTGTTGGCCCAGGAGGGCTTTCAAACCTCCGAACTTCTCATGGCCGACTCTGTGGCTTTACTCCGACGCAAAGTCGAAGACACGTCACTGGCTGTACAAGACGGGACTATGAACTCTGTCATCACCTTGGCAGCCATCGAAGTGAGATACTCTCTTGAGCTTCCTCTGTCTTTATTTCTCTTATCTTTCGAACCCATCACTGATAGTTTACGACTCTCAGTTTGGCAAGGGCAATATCAAGGTTAGCCAAATGCATGTTGACGGAGTGAAAAGACTCGTCAACATGAGAGGTGGCATCAATTCAGTGAGGCAGACAAGCCCGCTTACCGCGAGAATGGTCGGCTGGTAAGTCACCCCTTGATCACCTAGAGAGTATGCTATTTACATGCCTCAAAGGGTCTCGATACTCATCATGGGCCATCCTGAATTCGAGACCCAGGATGACGTCGGCATTGGAGATGGCATACCTCCCATTCCGGAATGGCAGTTGGACTCGACCGCTCTTCATGATGATTTATCCGAGCTCATCAGTATTGATGTCGACTATGCAGTCAGGAATGTCTTCATCCGTCTCCGCTACGTCTTCCAGCGGGCGCAACGGATACCCTTCTCAACCATACGACTTCACGACCTCACATGTTTTGTCGTACACCGACTTCTACTCTCAGCTTCGGACACGGCAAACCCTCGGTCGTCACCGATCACAGAATGCATTCGCTACGCAATCATACTCTACATGTTCATCATTCAGGGGCCAACGTATTACTCGCATGCAGTCATATTAAATACGACTGTCACCCGGTTTATAGAGCATCTCAAGCAACTCGAATCGACACCTCGTGCGTATGATTCACTTGATGTCTGGCTTCTTGCAATTGGAATGGTGGCCTCGACCGGCACAGCCCATTACCGGTGGTTTATGGAGACGGCACGGGCTATGGCTGCTTCTCTACAGCTGGGTAATTGTAACGACGCCCTCGTCCACATCAAGTGCGTCCTGTGGTTGGGGACACTGCAGGGCGAAGATATCTTTCGGCCTCACTGGGACGCTATTCTTAGTGCTGCGAATCGACCAGGGCCGCCAGACCTTACGGTCTGTGTATCACCAAGCAGTACTAGCGCAGGATTATTATGAAATACAATCTCATCTACGAGTTTGGTACCGGGCAGACCAGAATCAGTCAGTACAAACGGAAGGTAATGGGACGTGAATGTGGCATCGTCTTGATTACTGTAAAAAGGGGTCACAGACAATATCATCAAAGGGTGTAAGAAGCTAAAAGGTGCCAGCTATCTAACAGACACAACTAAGCAACAGCTTCTTTGTCTACGATCCTCCTGAAACAAAGTGAGTTGTTCGTTTGGGCTCTACAACTTTCCTCTCCACATTGCTGTCTTGGTATATAAGTAAGGAACGGATTCTCTTCTTTCCAAGATCATTTTCTCATCAATCTCCATCTTCACGAAGGACGATTCCACCTCATCAACACCTTCACCCTGTCTTCAGACAGAGACCTATCGATACCATCAATACGATTAGCTTGAGCAGTAATCATGCCGGAAACAGTTCCCATCATTCCCGAATCCCCCGCGATACATATAGCATCATATGCCTCAAGACCAGCGCGAACACCCCCTACGGCGCGTTCATCCTGATCGCGGCCGGGATCTACGGCTCCAACCTTTGGATCCCGCATAAGGAATTTCTCATGTCACTTCCTTGAAGAAAACCCGCACATTTTGCCGTTTGTCTCACTATAGATCAACGGCTTGATAGGCGAGGGACGCTGACTCAGCCGCCAGCCACCGCTTCGTCAAGGTGTCGGAAACTTCGGTTAGATTACTGTCAAGTATAGTTAGGATAGCTACTAATGGGCGAAGTTAATAGGCTTTTAAGATTAAAAGATTATAAAAGATAAAAATAAAAGAAATAAAGATTAAATATTCTAATTAATAGAAGATTATATATTTAAATTATCTTAGTTAATTTAAGATAATAGAAAAAAATTAAATATAAAATAAATAAATATTCTTATAATTATGCTTTATTATATTCTTTATACTCTTTGTTATAATGTCCTGTTAGAGTGTCAGTGTAAGGCGGAATCCTGGATGGAGTTGGGAATAGCTTTAAAGTACAGCGGGTGTCACGCGCCTGGATCCACCCTAGTTGTCACTGGTTGTGTCGAGGTATGATATGATGAATAAACTATATAAAGGTTCATAAGAGTAACTTATTAATAAGATTAGATATAATTCTAACTGGTCAATAATAAAGATTAATTATTTATAACTAAGATAGAAGAAGTATCTTGAAGTATTATAATATTTTAAATAAATTTATCTTACTGATCTTCTTAATATATAATTAAGTAACTTAGATTAAAGAGTTATACTAAGTAGGAATTAAGTATAAAAATAAGTATATTTATATAATTAATATTTCTTATACTTATTCTATATTCTAGGATGTATATCTGATTATATATTTAATAATCTTGCTTAATGCTATATATACTTTTTCTATATCTATAATATATATTGTAGTGTATACTAGTTATATGTTTTTTTATATTAGTTATAAGCCTGTATGTTTAGTAACTGTTTTGTATATTAATATATATAAATAACTAATTATAGTATTAGCTATTTTAATTAAGCATTTTTTCTTAATAATACTAATTTCTATCTAATATTATATAAATTAATTTTATAATATTACTCTTTTCTTTTAGAATCTTTATTCTTAAAGATATAAATAAAAAGATTTACTCTTGTTTTTAATATAATTCTATTTTCTTTATAAATAAATATTTAAAATATATTAATATATTTATCTCTAATTATTTTGCATATTGTATTGCCTAAATTAATTTTATTTAAAAAAATAATCTTTCTTCTGACTCTTTATATAAATATTATTTATTTTAAAATAAAGTTTATATTATAAATTCTAGAAGCTATAATTATACTTTATATATCTATTATAATTATAAATATAAAAAGTATTTTTATAGCTTAAAAAAGTAATTACTTTTTAAGAAAGAATAAGATAAACTAAAATCTAATTTTAAATTAATTAAATTCTAATTAGAACAATATATAGTAGTATAATAAAAATTATTTACTAAAATTTATTATATTTAAAAACAATAAAAGTTTCTTAAGGAATATAATAATAAAATATTAGATCATAATATAAATATTATAAATATTCTTAATAAGGAAGATCTTAAAAATCTTATTCTAACTTCTTTAAATAAATAGCATTTTAATATTATTATATCTTTCTTAGATATTAAGATATTACTTATTAATTTTAAATTATTTCTGCTAGATATATTCTTATCCTAAAATTTTCTTCCCTTAGATCTTAATATTAATAGAACTTCTTAATTGTCTTTTTTACCCTAGTAAAATTTTTAATAACCTTTTAGATACTTTTTAATTTGTTATATCTTTTCTATTTTATTAAATATCTCTTATAGTTTTCTAATATTTTAATTACTAATATCTTTTCTACTTTATAGATTTCTTGTTTAATAATAATATTAGTTTATATTTTTACATTTTATAGTGCTAGTTCTAATACTAATATATAAAATATAAGATAAATTTTTATAAAGTCTGATAATTTAAGTTTATAATTAACTTCTCTAATTTTTTTTTTAATTTTAAATAATTTTAATTATAAGTAATCAAGTTTATTACTTTCTTATAGTATCTATAAATTTTTTTAAAAGAGATAGATCTTTTTTTTTTTAAAGTTAAGTCCCTTCTAATTCTTATAGTTATATTTTTCTATATTAATTTATTCTTTATACTCTATTTTTTATTATAAATAGAGATATATAGCTTTTATATTATTAATTATTTTTTCTACAATTTCTACTATCAGCTAATTATAATATAATTATCTTAGTATTCTTATTTCTTTTCTAGTATATACTATAAATAGTATTATCTTTATTATAGATTATCTACTTATATTATATGCTAGTTGTGCTATTAGAAATAATTCTATCTAATTATCTTATTAATAGTTTATATAACTTTATAAGTATTATTTAAATATCTGATTTATTTATTCTATTTATCTATTAATTTATAAATAATATACTAAATTTAATCATTATTCTTCTCCTATTAAGTCTATTATGGATTTTTATAATTATAATATAAATGCTGGTCCTCTATCTAATACTATAATTTCTGATATGCTATAATATTAGAATACTTATTATAGTAGTGTTTTAGCTAATAGTAGTGTATTTATTTTTTTATTATTAGTATAAAGTATATATATTTTATTATTTTATTTATTATCACTAAAATTAAGTTATATTCTTCTAACTTTAATAGTTTTACAATAAGATCTATTATTATCTATTATTATCTATTATTATAGATATTCTAATGTTTATAATAGTTATATTTATTTATATAGCTTATATCTTATAATCTTATTCTTTTAATATATATTGCATTTCTTAATATAATTATATATTACTTTATATATATTTAGTTAATAATAATTTCTTAATATCTTTTCTAATATATTATTAATTCTTAGATATCTTATTATTAATTTATTATAATATATTTTAATGACTTTTTCTCTAACTATTTTTAATATATAAATTAAACTATACTAAAATATAAATCTTATTTTATTAATAATTATTTTTTTATATTCTTCTTCTTATTATATATTATTTAATATCTCTTAAATAGTATTATTATTTGCTATTTCTTTAATAATTAGATCTCATAATTCTAAATTAGTATTGTATTTTTGTGACGGGGGTTACAGGAACGTAGCTGGGATTCAGCTTCGGCCTAGGAATAGATTTGAATATATAATATATATACATATATGCTCAGCAGCTAATCACTACTTCATAAAGGCCTAAGGCCACCCACAGTTATAAGATAATATATACCAAGCCGCTAGTCTAATTAGCAGCAGAAAGCCGGGCAAGATTATATACCCACTATACTTTAAAGTTATTCTTAACTCCATCTAGGATTCTACCTTACAGCTATCCCCCTTTTTATAAAAATATATCTCTAAGCTTAAAACTTTATAGACTTATAGAATTTAATACATAGAATTAGTAGTTTAAATTTTATAATAAAATCCTTGCTTTTAATAAAAAAATTAAAGATAAATAATAAATATTAAATAAAAAATTAAATATATAAAAGATAATTAAGATTAGTATTAATAATAAATATATATAAATTCTTATCTTCTTTATTTTAATTTTCTCTTTTTTTTTTTTTTTTTTTTTTTTTTTTTTTTTTTTTCTTAGTCTTATCTTCTTCCTTAATAGTAAGTATTATCTTAATATTATACTTTTTTATTAAAATTTTATTAAATATAGATTTAGTATATCTTATATTATTAATTTCTTACTTTTTTTATATTAATTTAATACTTAAAGTAATAATAAGATAATTTTAACTATCTTATAATTAAGTATAGCAGTTAACTTAAAATATTTAATTTTAATAATTTAAATTTACTCTAGTTATCTTTCTCTTTAGAAGCAGTATTCTAATATTTAAAAAAATATTAATATAGTAATAGTTTATTATTATTAATCTAGATTTATTTTTATATTTAGAGTATTTTATAAAAATATTATTTATATAGATAAGTTAATCATATAAGATAAGTTATAAAATTAGATAAATATTAATATAATTACTAATAATATAAATAAATAAATAATCTAAATTTTTATATACTCCTAAAGATCCTTTAATTAAGTCTCTTAATATAGTTCCTACTTCTAATATTATATCTAACAACTCCTAGCTTTCTACATCTCTAAAGAGTAAAATAAATGATAATATTCTATATATAGGATTTTAATACTAATAAAATATAGAAATATATAATTAAGTCTCTATATAAGCTTCTATGCTTAATCTATTTTTAATTATAAACTATTTTAAATCCTTATAACTATATTAAGTAGCAGTATATTTATTATAATATTATAACTTAGTTATATATATATTATTAAATACTTAAATATAAGTATATCTTTATAAGTATATATTTATATTTTAATTTAAATATCTATATTATTAAATATTTTTTATTTTATAATTAATACTAATAATTTATAGTGCCCTGAGTCCCTATTAGACCATTTAAAGATTTTAGCTAATAAGTTCTATTAAGATTTAGTGATAGAAGACTTTAATAATTAATATTATATATTAGATAGAGTATTTAAGACTTTAAATTATATATTTAGAAAATATATTATTAAGATAAACTTTAATGCTAAAATTAATAATAAAAATATAATTTTAACTTAATTTAGTTTACTTAAAAAATATTTAATTATAATAATTTATACTATTTTATTAAAAGAATTTTATTTTTATTATTTCTATTCCTAATTAATATATTTAGCTGGTAACCTTACTAACTTTAATAGAGAAAAAAGATCTTCTTTACTTTCTTTTATTAAGCTTATTTATAGATAAGTATTTATGCCTAGGCCTTTAGGCTCTTAATTTTATAATCTATTCTCTTAGCTTTTATAATTAATTAGCTAAGTTTTTATTAAATATATAGCATAAGTTCCTTTTAAATCTTATAACTAATAATTCTTACTAATAATTTATAGTATAAAATAAGTCTTATATTTATTCTTAATTATTATAAATTAAGCTTTTTTTTATTTTTTCCTTTCTTACTTTA